CCATGCAAGCCAAGCTCTGCTTCAACTTCCTGAAGACGGGTCACATGGTAGCGCAATGTCGCGCTTATCCGCAGTGCGACCAGTGCCCCGGGCGGCATCACCGGATGCTGCATGCGCGCGGCCAGCCGGGCGGTCGCGGTATCGTGTCGTACAGCTGCCAGACGGACAGCCAACGCCCCCCGGTGCGCCTGATGACGGCCGTGGGCGAGGTGCAAGGTGAAACCCTGCGGGCGAAGGTGCGTGTCTTCGTCGACCTCGGCAGCTAAGCGTCCTTCGTGTCATCGGCGCTGGTTCGCGCTGTCCGCCCGCCGAAGGTGGGCTGCCACCGGATGACGGTGCGGTCGTTCGACGGCACGGAAGTCGAGGCCGAGTTCGGGCTGTACCAAATCCGCGTGACTGGGTTGGAGGGCAGGACGCATGTTGTCCGAGCGTACGAGAAGCCGGACCTCGATTTGCGTATCGAGCCAGTCCCCGACGCGTGTGTCCAGCGGTGGCAGAGCCGTGGCGTCACGCTGAGCGACTAGGAGACCAACCAGCTGCCGACCGAGCCGCACTTGCTGGTGGGCGCCGACGCAGCGAACAGCCTCCTTACGCAGAAGTGCCAGTTTGAAGGAGAGTTTGTGTGGAAATCGGAGCTGGGATGGGGTGTTGTCTGGCCCTGGTCACCAGCTCGAGTCGCCCCCACCCGGCGGCTCGGTGAGCCGGCCCACGATTTCGGTCGGCCTGGTGCAGTCGTCGGCCGTGGAGATGCTGTGGCGGATGGAGGAGTCCAGCCGATAACTATGCGCAGGTCATGGCAACGTCGTCTCGGCTTATGGCAAGGCTCGACCGCAACGGCCGGCGGGCGCTGTATGACGACGTCCTTCTGCGCGAGTACGGTGAGCTGGGCGCGATCGAGCTTGAGCCGGACCCGTCGACGGCGGGATACTACATGCCGCATCATGCAGTATTCAAGGCCGAATCCACGACGACGAAGACGCGCGTCGTTTTCAACGCGTCCGCGTCGCAGGCCGGCTGCGAGTCGTTGAACGCTCTGCTGGACCCGGGCCCGTCGTTACTACCGAGCTTAGCAGGCTTGCTGATTCGGTTCCGGGAACAGCCGGTCGACGTGCAAGCCGACATCAGGAAGGCCTTCTTTATGATCGGTATGAAGGAGGCCGACCGGCGCTATCTCCGATTCCTGTGGAGCGATGCGTCAGGCAAGATGCAGGTCTGGCGACTAGCGAGGGTGCCGTTCGGTGTGAATTGTTCACCGTTTCTGCTCACAGCAGTGCTGCGAACGCACCTGGAGTCCGCGCTGGAGCATGCCACGCTGACCGAGGCAGACGTCTTGCGCCGGTTGCGCGACAGTCTGTACGTCGATGACTGCATCGCCAGCGTGCCAACGAACGACGCGGCACGCCAGTTCAAGAAGATCGGCACCGCGTGCCTGGAGATAGCGGACATGGCTCTGCGGAAGTGGAAGTGTAATGTTCCGCTTGGAGATGACGAGGTACAGTCGAGCGGCAAGGTGCTCGGTCTCTGCTGGAATGGCGAAGAGGATTCGCTGCGCATTCCGGTGCCTCCAGACTGTGACGATCCGACGACGAAGCGCCAGCTGCTGCACTGCGTGGCCAGCCTGTACGACCCTCTCGGGTTCGCGTCGCCGTACGTCCTGCAGGGAAAGCTGTTCCTCAAGGAGCTATGGCAGGAGGACGTCGCGTGGGACGACCAGGTGCCTGCAGGCATGCAGGTGTTGATCCGGCGATGGTGGGGAGAGAGGACAGCTCTGCAGCACCAGCCACTGCCGCGCTACCTCGGCTGCAGCGCCGAAGCAGTGATACATCTGTTTGTCGACGCCTCTGAGAGCGGGTTCGGCTTCTGCATCTACGCCACGTGGCCCAGCGTCAGCAAGCTGATCTTCAGCAAGGCCAAGGTCGCTCCGATGAAGCAGCAGACCCTGGCACGGATGGAGCTGCAGGCAGCATTTGTCGGCAGTCGCTGGCTGCAGTTCGTCGCAGGAGAGGTGCGCCTGCCTATCAAGGAGACGCACGCTTGGTCGGATTCGATGACGATGCTACAGTGGATCGCCGGCGAACCCCATCGCTGGCGAATGTATGTCGCCAACCGGGTCAGCGAAATCCAGGAGGTATCCAACGGCCTCGGAATGGAGTGGCATCACTGTCCAGGCAGTGACAACCCGGCCGACCTGGCAAGTCGTGATGCGACGCTGAAGGAGCTGCATCAATCGAGCTGGCAGCATGGTCCCGAGTGGTTGCCTGAGAAGGCCGCCTGGCCAATGCGACCGACAGTAGAGTGCACCGAAGAAGAGTCGCGACCAGTGAAGGTGAATGTCGTCACCGCCAGCTTGGAGCTCGAGCAGCTCTGGTGGTCGCGCTTATCGAGGTGGCCACGCTTGCTGGGAGTCGCCAAACGTCTGCTGAGCTGGCGTCCCCAGAGCCACCCACCGTTGTCGACTCAAGATCTGGAGAGACAAGCCAGGGCACTCGTGTTCCAGAAGGTGCAGCTGGAGCTCTTCCCGGAGGAAGTCAAACGGCTGTTGGCAGGGCAACCGGTCTTGAAGGAGTCGCAGCTCTTCCAGTACCAGCCGTTCATCGACGACGACGGCGTGATGCGAGTTGGCGGCCGGCTGGCGTCAAGCGACTTGACGTACAGTGCTAAGCACCCGGTCCTGCTCGCTAAACACCACGTTGCCGAGATGTTGTTGCGCCATCTCCACCTGAAGTCGCTACATCAGGGTGTCGAGAGTGTGCTAACTCTCGCGCGGCAGCAGTATTGGATCATTGGCGATCGACGCGCGTTGCGCAGCGTGAAGAGCAAATGCGTTATCTGTCGTCGGCAGGATGCGCGAGCCGCGGATGAAGTTTCCGCACCGCTACCACGAGACCGCGTGGTGTACCAGCGTCCCTTTGGATTATGCGGAGTGGATTATGCTGGCCCTCTCTATGTCAAGGATGGCGGCAAAGCATGGATCGCGCTGTTCGTGTGCGGCACCACCCGAGCTGTCCACATCGACCTGGTGCGGAGCTTGGAGAAGAGAGAGTTTCTCCTGGCGTACCGGCGGTTCTGTGCACGGTGGGGAGAGCCGGCCCGCATCCGTTCAGACAACGGCGCAACGTTCCGAGCAGCGGCGAAGACGTTGTCGGTGGAGTGGCTGTTCAACCCACCAGCGGCGCCGTGGTTCGGCGGGTTTTTCGAGCGGCTCGTTGGCGCCGTGAAGCGCCCGCTAGTCAAAGTGCTTGGCAAGGCGTTGGTGAAGGAGTGCCAGGTACGCACCCTGCTGTGCGAGATCGAGGCTGCTGTCAACGACCGTCCACTGACACACTTTGGCGGCTTGGACTCCGAGCCGCCTCTCTCGCCCGCGATGCTGTGTGGGAAGCTCTGGCCCGGCGCGGCGGAGGTCATCGAGCAGCACGTGACGGCCGAGCAGTTGGGTCGGCGTCAGAAGTACGTCACTGCTTTGACGGGACACCTGACGAGCCGGTGGCACGATGAGTACCTGGTCACCTTGAATGCGTACCATGCTGGGCGCTCGTCGCCGATCGTCGTTGATGATGGCGTCCTCATCATTGCTGACAACAAGCGGCGCCAGCGCTGGCGGATGGGCAGAGTCGTCAAGCTTTTTTCCTGGGCGCGACGGGCGAGTCAGAGTGGCCGAGATCCGTGTCATTAAGGAGAATGGAGAGTGCTCTTCTGTGCTGAGACCGATTCAGCGCTTGGTTCCTTTGGAGCTGGTCGCCTCGGGCGATCATGACCCGGTGCGCGTGGTCGAGTAGCAGCCTGCGGACGAGCCCGTGCTAGTTGCCGACGCCGGTCCCACGCTAGTTGCGGTGCCACGGCCAGAGGCTCCACTGTCACCAGAGCCAGCGCCAGCGGTTCCGCCTGCAAGATCGACCCGTACGCGCACGATTTGGCCTCCAGCTCGCTACGCCTGAGAAGACTTTGGTGGGGAGGATGTCGTGCAACCACTATTGAGTGTGAAAGTCTTTGAATATCTGTAGATGAACAATCTTACATTCCTGTTACTTTGTTATTGTTTCTGTTTGAAGATTTCTGTTTCTACGTTGTGCATTTATTTGATGTGTGCATGCTGTTCGCTTGTCACGTTGGGATCGAGCCACGGCGCTGTGTCGCCGCGGAGTTGTTTTTGTCATGCATATGTACGCGGTACGCGAGGCAGTTCTGTACTGGTAATTCGTAGTACCAGCGCGTACTTGCCTGGAGGTTTTCCATGTTTTCCATTTATATAAATTTGTGTATCGGAAATAAATAAATTCACTTTTGGTTTGGGAAAGACAATGCTCGATGGCGTTGTGAAGTTGTTGTAGCATGGGTTGCTGTAGCCAAACACTAACTTTACATCCGGTTGCACCAAAAGCTTGGAGCGCATATAACCTGAGCTTGCTATGATTTTCATTCTTTGCGCTCGAGTCTAAGGACTCTCCAGTCTTTTACTCTACTATGGTAAAGTAATGGATAAACCTATTACCCGTTGTGTTTTGTGAGTGCCTTAGTTCCTATCGTGTGCAGAACGTTGAATTACCACATAATTAACGCTGTGTGGATCCTGGCTAGCGCCAGACGTTACTGAAGTAACGTCTTTTGCATAGCTACGGGAATAAAATAGATTTAGTTCTGAACCTGAGCATGCAACTGAGTGCATTGTGAGTTTGCGTTCACCATGACGTGGCCAGAATCCTGGATCAAGGCTTGGCGAAAATACAGCTAGCACACGCAAGGGGACCGAAAAATTCGTACGATGCGCTAATTTTGTTCATATCACGCTTGAAAATAGTTCGTCTTCACGAAAGTTGGCGGTACTGGGTCTAGGAGTTTGTCATAAAGGAATAATTTTGACTTGATTTCATGGCTGGCTAACCAAAGGGTTGTCCCTAGTTTGTACTAAAGGAAAGTTTGCCTTATCAGTGTTTGTCCTAAAGAGGTTTGAGTGTATACAAATATAGGTATTTCCACTGGTGTGGTGTCTGACTGTTTTTCAGGGCTAGTAACTGGCAAGGAAGATGATGGCAGTGATGAGGCGATTGCATACTTCATCAGCGTTGAAAGGGACTACCCGTTGGAGACTTTTGTTTCGCCACCTTTGTTCCTCATGATGCTTGCATGCCGGAGGGACGATCATGACGACCTTCAGCGTCTTTTGACAATCAACGTTGCCGGCACACAAGCATTGGATCCCGATTTGCGGCGTGTGAAGTCCGCAGTTTGGCACACAAAAGAGCATAAACATGTTCATGTGACTCTTCTGGTAAGTGTACCAAATCATTGATTGCCAAGTATACATTGATCATTGCTATGCCGTTTTACCTCAGTCGGTAGAGCATGATACTCTTAATCTCAGGGTCGTGGGTTCGAGCCCCACGTTGGGCGCCAATTGTCGTTGGGGGGTTTAGTGCCTCGACGATATCCCTTCCGATTACTCTCTTATGTCTTACATCACACGTACGCCACACTCAGAAATCAGATATTTGTTCTTACTCCGAAGAGAGTCTCAGGAAGAAGGCAAAACAACAAGAATGCGTACAATAATTATGCAAGCATGCGCAACCTGCGCAGTCCGCGCGCGGTCCGCACACCGACCACGCGGACCCAGCACACACGTGCCAAAAGGGGCACAAACCCTCCAAAAGGGCAGGGACAACATACGTCCACATGAAAAAAATGCATGCTCTCCTGAGGATGGGAGAGAAAAAAATGAGAAGGAAGACAGGAGAAAAAGAAATCAAATGTGAACAACATACACATGCGGATACGCAGGGCCAAAACAGTAGGATACAATAGTAACTCCGGACAACGGGGTAAAAGCCGAAGCAAAGGGGTGGAAATAAAACAGACTGGGCCCACCCATAGAGGGAACCGCCATACTTTCAGGCGTGGGCCCCCGGAAAACAACCACCTCGCCCTGGTGCGAAGCCAAGGCAAACCGACGGTACTGCGAAGACCGCGGCAGCTGAACCGGGTGACCAGTCATCTGGCAGCACAGGAGTTGTCCGGAAAACCATCACGCAGCTGATGGGGCTACGAAAACTCACAGAGACACACACAGAAAGAAAGAAACAGGGACTGACGCAAACATCTCAGCAATACTAGGAGCCAAAATTCAGACAAGAAAACTACAAGAAGGAATGGCAGAACAGCAACGTTGAACACGCCTACGGAAACAGGGGCAGTCTATCAATGAGGACACTAGATAGCACACAAACAAATCGGTCACCAATATGCAAAACAAATAACGCAGAAAACCACAGGGCGCTACCCTGAATAACCACAGGCCTCTGAAAAACCCCACAGGCCTCTAACCTGAAAAAACCCACAGGTATTGAATCTGAATATCACGCGTGAAACACATCCGCTCACGAAACAAAACAAAAAAACAACAAAAAACACCGTCCTGAACCCTACTGGGACGCACAAAGGCCAGCCAGCAAAACACGGAAACCGAACACCCGCAAGGCGAACTGATACAAATAAGCGCTGGATCCCACCAGCCCACCAGGCAGACCATGGCTCACCATGATCGGACGCCCCCCTAGGTGAAATGGAGAGACCCACGTGCCAAAACACAAAGACAAAACAACACGCTCACAGAATGATTGCCACCGGACCGTCAACGAGACTCTCAGAAGCATGTCACACCACTGGGCGACAGCCATTCCACATGATCGGTGGGGCAACACGGCGGAGCACTAATGATAGCTTGCATAGACCTCGGTCCTACCGGTAGGACCTACCGGTAGGACCATCATACACAGACATGCTGCATGGCCTCTGTTCTAAAGTTGACCTAAAACTTGACCCTAAACTGTTGGTCAGGGGCTAATGAAGGAGTCCACAAATTTTAGACGTGATCGCACAAGGCATGCTACGAAATTTCATGGTAACAGCCCATGGTAACCATGGAAACAGAGTATGGAATTATGCATTCCGCTGCCTTGGCAAGCTAATAAAAACATTAGGACCTCACCAAGATTGATGTGCCATGGTCAAAATTCACTTTGGACAGAGTTGCTAGTGCTCCGACAGGAGTATATGCGGCCATTTTGAAAATTGCTAAAATTGCGCATACGCAATGCACTGGATATAGCCTTGCATTTTGCGCCACTGCTTTGCCTGACAAAGACCTCATCTCAACAATTTTTTCAAGAAATTTCTCAACCAAAATAAATTTTGCAGCGCAATTTCTTCGGTCCTACCGGTAGGACCCGTGGTCCTACCGGTAGGACGGCATGCAAGCTATCACTAAAACGCTCGACACAAAACATGAATACTAGCAAAACGAAAAAGAAAGCACTTGTACTTGAAACCGGAAACGATGGAGTGTCACCACATCGAGTAAATCGATGGGGACATCTACTAAACTGAAACAAATCGAACGACAGGATCGGAGCAGTCCGACCACAACGAAACGACGTGCACCAGTGCCCAACACAGGGCGAGTAACAATGAGCAAACAAAAGCAAAGCTACCCATGCCGACGACCAAGCAACACGACGAGCATGCACGACAGAACGGACAACAGAAGGTGTGAAAACACAGTGCACACGACCACTCGAACAGCCAGAGGCCGGAGGGCGAGAATGTACACTGGTTCAAAACACCGCACACACAAGCACTCAAACAGTGCTGACACAATGTGGGCCACAATCATGTACCAACAGGAGCGAGGCTCGAACGAGAGTACTTGTACACAAGAGAACACGGGACTTCAATGCCACGAAGTGAAACAATTATTTGAAAATTCCAAATCGAAGACTAGTACAGTACCAGGAGAACTACGTACAAGGTACAAAACATTACGCAGGACAGACAAAGCAGGCTCACCTGAGTAGGAGCTCCGAGGACAGGGTTGAGCAGCTGGAGCAAAGTGGAGCCATGGCGAGGACACGTGGAGAAGACAAGATTTGAAGCCACGGCGAAAACGAAAACGATCTCAGGGTCGTGGGGAACGATTCCACTAGCTGGGAGCCAATTGTCGTCGGGGGGATTTAGTAGGGACCTTTCGCACCACGCGTACGGATACGAAACGAATGCTGATTCGTCACCTGGGTTCGAGGATTCGTCAGAGTCGCCGCGGAGAGCTCGTTTTCACGAATGAAAGCCTCTTCATTCGTGGCACGCTCCGAATCCGTCAGGTACACATTTGTTTGCAAGGTACACATGTTTTGCCAGGTACACATTTTTCCCTTGATTCCATGATCCATGCACGTGTGCGCGAACACACCCGTACGCCAAGGTACCGGCCGTATTCGTAGTTGCCATGCAGATTTGCATTACGACTTGCGAAACCTGAATTCTGCTTTCAACGAAACGATTAAGAGACGAATCAAACTTTCGTTTCGCATTCGATTCGTAGCAAATGCGAAAGGTCCCTAGTGCCTCGACGATAGCCCTTCCGATTACTCTCTTATGTCTTACATCACACGTACGCCACACTCAGAAGACAGATATTTGTTCTTACTCCGAAGAGAGTCTCAGGAAGGCAAAACAACAAGAATGCGTACAATAATTATGCAAGCATGCGCAACCTGCGCAGTCCGCGCGCGGTCCGCACACCGACCACGCGGACCCAGCACACACGTGCCAAAAGGGGCACAAACCCTCCAAAAGGGCAGGGACAACACTTTGAGGGTCTATCGTTTGAATTCGAACGATAGTTGACGATATTTTGTGCGTACCGTAAATCTGTCGTAACTCCATTGTGTTTAGTCCTGTTGCAAGTATTGAAATATTTGGATCGAAGAGGAAGCTCCAAGCTTTCCAATGGTGTAACGCTTTTGCGATAGGAGAAATGATGATAAAGATATGGCACTCGAAAGTTGAATCGCGGCACTAAATTGTTCAAACTGCTCAAAATCAATGTTTTGCAGCGTGCTTTGGGGATTTCCTGTGGATCACGTGGTGTGCAGCCAGCTCATGACGTGTGGGTGTAATGATATAGAATCTACCAAGAGTACATAAACCAGAGTGTGCAACTCGGGTTGGTTCCTGTGGGAGCGTAATTTGTGCACTACGTCATTTCTGACGGCATCGTAAGCCACAGGTACGGTGAAAAGTTGCGTAACCAGTCGCGGTGGTGCAGTTCACTGAGTTTGTCCTGATTTCGGTTTTTTGAGACGGATAGCCTGGTGACTTTACTTGTCGGTGGATGTACGCAGCGTACACAGTCACACAAAACACCGAAATCCTGAAACAGGACGTCTAAAATCAAGCAAACTTGGCTGATTTCCGGGCTATGAAACATGAAAATTCGAGCTGTACGCAAGTCGCGGCTTGGTTGATCTCATCAGGGTGACGTAGTGCACCAACTGCGCTGTTTCAGATCTGATATGCACAGTTGCACACTCTGGTTTATGTACTCTTGAATCTACTGATTGGGATGCAAAGAAATCCAGAGCTGTGCGAGAAACGACTGCGAAATGGCATTGGGACGAAATTTAGTAACCAGATCATATACAGTCAACGAGTGTGACAAAATGGCACAAAACGGACAAGGAGTGACATTTTTGTCCTTCTCCTTTTTTCATAATTAAGAGTCAATGTCTGTGAGGACTAAATATCACCCGACGTGGCCAAATTTCCGATTTCGTTCAACGTTGGCTCCTTTTATCCCTAGGTGGACCTCATCCACACACTATGACAGTTTGGTCCAGAAACCCTCCGTTCTTTAGATATTGACCAAAATCAAAAAATCGATAAAAGTACGAACTGAAACATCTTCAAACAAGGTACAAGAACGAGGGTTCACTGTTCTCGCAATAACGCAGCGCAGCCAAACCAACTATGTTCTGTAGCTCTCCTTCTTTGTCTGCGATGCCCAGCGCTTAGCCTTTTACAAAGTGTCTCTGCGGTCCAGAATTCTTTGCATCTGGAGAGCAACACTCAGCACCGTGCACATATGACCAGAAGAAGAACTCATACCCTCGACGGAATGGTTTCTGTGTCATTAGGTGCTTTCCTCGACTCTGACGATGGCAGATCTTCGGAGCGATGGCTACATCCCTCCAAGGGAAATTCTGGTTGTTGAGCAGCGTCTTTCCTGTCATGTGCTGGATCCACCGACGCAGCAGCATCTTCTGTTCCCGATGCAGATTGTGTCACGGTACTCGCTGCTGTAGCAACGAGTGAAGGAGGAATGGTCTTCGATCGCCCTTTCGCTGCTCGGCGCAGGCTGCCATCCTTGTCCACCTTGCGGATCTCCGGGTGGCTGTGATAATATTTCCACCTTGAGCATCAACAATGGATTTGACA